GTTAGGTAAAACCGGAATCATACAATATCGAATATAAAATTGAAAGTTTATTAAATTTAATAAATAAATAATAAAAATTTATATTTTTATATTAACATAACTAAAATTTAATATAACTAGCATATATTTTATTTTGTTTCAGGTGCTACATGCAAAAAGAGAAAATTTTATGAAGAAATTTGAAAAAAGAACTCAAGAAGGGGATGTATGTGAAGAAAGTAAAAATTAAGGGGTGAAATCCATAAAAAAAACTAACAAATCCAACCCAAACCCAAATATTGAGCCCACTAGCCACTTTCACAAATCAGCCCATTAAAACCCAAACCCAAAAAACCCTAGTTTTCCTTTCTCTTTAAAGGGTAGAGCCACACAAAACAAAAGGAGGCTGCAGACGGCCAAAAAAAAAAAAGCGCGATTCTTCTTCCATCCAGAATCCCCTTTCCCCATTTTTTTCTCCGATCAACAGCCTCCATCTCCATCACCGGTCATCACCCGATTCTTCTCCCATCCAAAACCCTCTTTCTCCATTTTCTCCGATCATCAGTTTTCCGCTTGTAGCTGTTTTGATTTGATCCTAAAATCCATTCCACAGAGGTTCGAGTGTTGGGTTTCGATTGGAAACATGGCGTTTACGTTGAGGGGCGTGAAGGTGCCACCGAACTTGGTGAACCTGGAGGAGGCCAGGGGTCGAGTCTTCGACTTCTTCAGGTCAGCTTGCAGATCGATACCGACGATCATGGACATCTGCAACCTTCACGAGTTTTCTCCCCTTCCCTCACTGATCACCATTCTCATCACTCGTTCCTAATCATCGATCTGCTCTCCTTCGCCTAACAACAGTCGCCAGTCTTCTCCTCCGTCTCAAAGCAACCGACCAACTGGTGATTCCTCCACTCCATGTGAAATCGAGATTTCAAACGATTTTACCATAAAATTGCGATTTTACGATTTTTCCTTCCGATTTCATGAGATTCCGATTTTAACATAGATTTTAATCGAAATCCATACCTAAAATCGTAATATCTTACGATCTTACAATTTAAAACTCGATTTTGACAACCATGCCTGCTACTCAATAAATAGCATGACCACCATTGGATCACATGGATTGAGCATGCTATAAGTCTTTCAATAGAACAATCCCTGAATCTATGACATTGCTTTAGAATTACTTCTACTTTGGTGCAAATAATTCAGCTATTTCTTAAAACATTCCTATCCTGACAACGAAAGAAAAAAGGCCCAAACGAAATAAGACAAAAAAAATTTCCTTGTCAATCCTCTTCGTAGAATCATCATGTCAGAGGTTGATAAGGATGGAATTTGAGATGACGGGAGTTAATTTTGTCTACTTCAGATCAATGGTTGGAGAGAAAAGATGTCGATTTGGACAATCGAGATGAGAAAAAGGGT